AATTAAATGTCACCAGTTTAGCATTGTATCACAAAAATGTTAGCAAGCTTGAAATTAGATGTGTATACTATAGTGGAAGAACATTTATAAACAACTTAATCTTAGCAGTAGTAGTATGTTATATGAATTTGTTAGAAAGAAGCACACTCTTAGGGTTTAAAAAGACTGTTAATGTCATTCTGTTCAACTGTTGCAGTTCAGGATCATGTCTGCAGTAATTCCATTATTATTTTAATGTATTTTTGAACACATCTAACAAAGGTACCTACAGATCTAACACCACTCATTAAACAGTCTAGTCTGAGTAGCATGCCTTGGGAGGTACAATTTGAGTCTCTACGTGAGGACTCTCTTGTATTTCAAATCGTTTGTCTTGTCCGGCTGCCTTAGCTTGAATGGTCATTGATTATTATTTGGTTAGTGCTTAGTATACACAGTTTGTATTAGAATGACATTACAAATAAAAATAGTGCTTAACATTAACATTTGGTTAGCAGAATATACAAGTCTCTTCATATGAAGTGAAAATCTTAGATACTACTCTGGAAGAAATTGCTTAATACTTGCTTTTAAACCACAGGAAGTACAAACTATGAGATGAAGAAAGAGAATACTGAAGAAAGAGAGTGGATATCAACTAAATTTTGTATTTACTCTGTATGCTAATATTACCTTTCATTCAAGTGGTAACTGTTTTTAGTTCTTTCCACTATAGTTCTTCATGCTTCCGAACTTCGTTGTGCTATGAATTCAGTTGTACTCCTGCAACTGGAAAGCCATTTAAATCCTCTGAAAGCAAACTGTATGTGATAATCATACTGACTCTCATTCTGGGTGGCTGGATTACTGGGGACAATAAAATACTTGAGATACATGCCACTTAACACAGCTCCACTTATGTTGTTACAGGAGGATTCCTCTTAAGTCTTTTGCTAGATCATTCTAACAGAAAAATGTTAATTCCTATCATTAATATGGAACTATAACATTGAAAAGCATTCCCAGGAGATTGAAGGAGGTCTTACTATGCAGCTCTCTCAGTGCTAATCAAAATCAAACAAGCAATTAAAATATAAAAACTATGACAAAAAGCATGGAGAGAAATGAAAAGGCAGGTGGAGAAGCTATGATGAATTACCATGCATAGAAAACAAAATCCATCCCAGTGTGATCCAAGATGAGTTAAAATCAAAGCAAAATCCCTTGTTACCTATGTACATACTAGATATTAAATTCTCAAAGTTTTGAAGTGCTTTGGAAGAGAATGTAGTGAAAATATCAGTTCAGATTTTTTTTTGAATATTTTATATAAAGATACAGCAAAATAATTTGAAATTCCATCTTCTACTCTCAAAATAGTTGAGTTTTCTTCTTAATGATAAAGATAGCTATTTTATGAAATAAGTTGTTGAGCAAGGACCATGATTTAATGTTAGGAGGATACTAGTAAATTGGATCTGAGATAACGGGTTTTATACAAGACCAGGGTATTTCATACCATTAGATGTGGTGTTATTAATAGAAATGTTAATATATATTAGGTGCGTTTTAAGAATAGAATTAAACTCAATGAATCTATTGTATGGTTGTGAAAAAGCATTCTAGTGAGGTCCAGCAATTGAATCACACTGCTCTTTTGAGAAACTTCTAGTTTAGAAAACATTTTGGATAGAAACTTTTTTTTTTCTGTGAAAGGTAATATAAAATGTAATATAACAAAATAAAGAACTCAGTATAATATTTGTAAGTAGAAATGTGTGATTGTATTTTGAACCATTTTTAATATTAGCTCTTTTTAAAATTTTATGTTTTCCTAAAGGCTTTGTGATACCATGTGTTTTTTCTTTTTATTTCACAACTGTTCTTTCATTTTTTGCTTTCATACTGTTTGAATCTAGCAGCTTCATGTATGTGATGGCCTCCACTATGCTATATTATATGAAGATTTTTATGTGCAATTAAATGTAACAAAGATAAGTCTATTTAAATGTTCTCAGAACTAGAGAAGCAAAAAAAGAAAATTCTTTATTTTTGCATGTTGAGTGTAGCAGACACTTTTAAAATAATTTCTTCTAATCATTATGTATACAAGAATTCAAATGGAACTACGTTTCTGTGGTTTTGTTCGTGAGTCATTGTCTGTGTGTGTTTGCAATCTGCATGAGTCCAGTGATCTTGAATGTGAAGGCTGTGTGCTTTCTGCACACCTGTATTATACTGAAATAGATGTTTTACACAACAGTGCAGATTCAATTGTGTGGTAACACAGAAAAAAATAATGCTCAGGAAATTTAATGCCCACTGAAAAGGGCAACAGAATTTTTTTCCTTTCTTTAAATGTCAGCCTGCTTATTAAGAGGTGTAATAGGAATACTTCAATGCAAGTATGGGTAATTTTTTTTCCTTTACCTTGTGTTTACCTTACATTAGGACTATTCAGAGTTGGGGTATTCTTTACAATCAACACACCTAAGATTATCAATTTAAAGCACCTTTCTTCATATCCATGACTTGAGACTATATCTGAAAGGCAATTATTCCATTACTGATATACAGTTCAATTTCATTCATTCTGACATCTGTCAGTTCCCAAGAGCTCTTGGTGCTTAAAATAATTTTGAGCTCATTTAATTTGATTTTTTATAGATCTCTTGCTCTTCAGTCTTCTGTCTTCCTAAAAGTAAAATGTGAGACCCTGGCCTGCTTGTAGATACAAGGCAAGTTCACTTGGAGAGGTATAACATAAAATGTAGCTTTGAATGTAGCTTCTATAAATTCAGGTTCTGCTGCTTGTGTAGACAAGCAAACAAAAGTCCATCAGAATTCTCCAAATAATCGGCAATGAACTTTCTTACATCATCATGAAAAAGCCCATAAAAGGCACTTAGGGAAACTCTAGCTATGCCATATTACATGTTGCCATGGCTTCATGAGTTTCCAATTGCTGTGAGCTGTCAGAGCAGCCTTTAATGTTTTCTAGTTCAGTTATGTCAAATACTTTTAATGTTGCAAGTCACTGTGCGCATCCAATCTGATGATGAAACACAGAAACCCCTCACTCATCTACTCTTCACCTACCGAAGGCTCATAGTCACCTTACTTGGGATGATTTGGTCTTGTCACAAGTGGAAGCCTTACGATCTTTCGTGTTCCTCACTCTTCATTAGAGCTTCCTACAGCTCTTTAGGGAGCTACATTTTCCTTTAATATTATTCTAGAGGAACTTCGGAACTTCCTTTGTTTTCAAGTTGTCTCAGAACCCCGAACACTGTAGGATTCTGTTTTTTGGATTCTCTGTTGTTCTGAAGCTTTTTATAAAAATAGTGGTCAATACGCTGTATATTTTTATAAAGGAAAGGAAGAGCCCTGCACCTAGGGCTCTAGGGCACCTAGAGAGAAGAAAGGATATAAGAAGTCCTGGAAAAAACCTGTTCGGAAACACCTGTCAAAATATTTTGAATGTAATAGTGCAGATTTTAAATTCTTGGAAACTTTCTATGTTCTTTGCAGCCTTTTTCCAAAGGATGTGAAGAGATCAAGGATGAGTTCAGGTACATGTTATATGACAATACTGTTTAGTTTACAACAGCTACTACACCTACCACTATTTTAATCCTAAACTTAGGATCTATGATTCTTGTTTAACTGAACAAGTTAATTTTGTCTTCTGAAATCATGAGACATTTGGGTTTCTTTAAAAATGTATAGGTTTCAGAATGCACTGGCTGTGCTCTCTCTCTGAACTATGCCATTTCATTGCTGATGAAAGATGTAGCTCAACTTTTGTCTCAGTACAATTGAAAAATCTGTTCTTACTGACATTTCTGGAAGGCAAGGGTAGCAAGTGGTTATCCGAAGACAGAAAAAAGGATCTTAAATATCCTATTTTTTAAACTAAGTGGCATCTGCTTGTCTCAAAATTGTACATGGAGAACATATTTTAAAGACACAAGTGAGTTTTCCCACTGCCACTAAATTAACTGAAGTTTGTTATATCTGAGCATTGACATATAACAAAGCTGTTAAGTAAGACAGATTTTGTCTCTGTTGGTTTGTAGAAAAGGGGTTCGTGTTTGAGACCAACACATTCCTTGCCTGAACATAGGTTTTGATTCAGAAAGTGTATTTTATATGCATTGAATATTAGATAAATAGATTTGTCTCTTTCCTCTCAAATTATCCTGTGTCTTCAGTCTTCAAGTAACAGGAAAGTGTGTTTGAAAAATTTTCTTTTCAGCTGAGTGTTATCTGTACTTCTTTGAGTTCCCTGTGTGTGGTATATTTTCTGCATGTGTTCTTTGTATTTTGTGTGCTGGAAAGGAAAGCAGGGGGAGAAAGTAAGTTCACTACAATAGTGGACAGTGTTCTGTCTTTTGCTTTCAACTACTAAGAAGAATTAAGGGAAATATAGTGCTACCAGATCATAAGGCAAAATGGGACCATGGAGCATCAGAACAAAAACTCCCAGGAGATTCTGGATCAACTCAGATTAATAACAAATTGACTCAAAATGAACAATTTCTACATGATTCAGTAGAACAAGGGAGAACTGCCTGGATAAGTCCAAGTGCTTTTTAGATTGAGGAAAAATACCCATCTGAGTAATTCTGTCATAGTTCAGCATGAAAGCTTGGGTAGCAGTTCCAGCCTTTGAGTCAGGAGAGCTGGTCCTCATTCTGTGGGCAAGATTACAGTTGAAGTCAGCGGAAAACTTTAATAACTACTCCTCCCAATCCTTCTTGGGGAAAGCATTTTCTTCTTTGTTGTACTTTATCACTTCATTGTACTTTATCACTTTGTTGTTTTGAATGCACACCAAGTACCATGTGACAAAAATTACAAATGGATTTCCACATATTTATATTTCCATGTTATTACTGTAATGCTCTTTTATCTCATTAATCAAGTTTTAATCAATGTAACTGAGAATTTGCCAAAAATAAAAATGATATATTTTATCCTTTTTATGCTAACTCGATTTTGTGGGTTTTTTTTAATAGTGATTCCGGAGTTTGTTAATCAAGTAAATATTGCATTGGAGAGCCTCAGCAAGAACAAAATGCATATGTTTGATGATAATCAGTTTGTGGACGTTTCTAAGAAGGTCTATGATACGATTCATAATATCAGATGCTCAGTCATGGTGATTCGGGTAAGTTTTTGATTTGTTCATTTAATACTCATTTATGAAACAATTAGGGCATTTTCAGAAGAGTATAGAACTATTTATGTCAAGTATGCCCCAAATCTTGTATTCATATTGAACTGATGTGGAGATTTTGGGTAATTTGGAATACACATGATAATAGGAAGGCTGGAATACTGTTCTGTACAGAAGAAGAGTAACATATGAGAAGGTTTCAGGAAGAAGTGTTTTGTTCTTTAAAAATATTTATGTATATCACATTAATAAAGGTCTTGATTTATTTTATAAATGGTCGACTACAAGCCCACCTGTAATTGTACTAAAATGCCTGGAATTTTGAAATACTGGAATACTTGAAGTACTTATGGCTTTGGCTTTGCCCTTAACCTTATTCAGTGAAAGATGGTATAAAGAGCATATTCAGGTGAGCCTGTTAAACTCATGTTGAAGTTTTGTCGATTCCAAACTAGAACACTTAACAATGTGATTTCAGTCAATAAAATGATGGATTATCCTAATGCTTATCCAGTAGTGCATTAAAAAACTTCAGAGAAGCATATTTGCAAATTTTGAAATACAAGTTTGTCAGATGCAGAATTTCCACCAAATATCTTTGATCCACAAATTCCATTTCAAAAAATGCAAGATAACCACAGAGCATCAGTATCTTTATGTTTAGTAAGGTTTTTTTTTAGGAATAAAACATTACTAAAATGTGTCTATTACAATTTTCAAAGAAATATTGTCTTTTGTGTTTGGATAATGCTGAGAAACTGAAAAAAAAAGATTCTTCTTTCTTTTAACTAAAAATATACTGCAGAGTAATAGGGAAAATCTAGGTAAATCTCCTGAAATACAGTGATGCATAAATTGAACATCTGGAGTAGGAATTCAAATATACAGAAAATTTCAATTGTGCAGTCCTTTTTGCTGTTGTCAGTTAGGAATTTTATACTGAAGAGAGAACCTGTAACACATGCATGGTACACTGTGTTTTCACCTTCCCTAAAAGTGAAGTTAGTTTGTCTTAAATGGTTCCACCTTGGAGTGATTATACATGTGTAATTACATATGGTGGTCATCAAAATCAGATGACAATGTCTGGAAAGTTCGCTAAAGTCTGGCCTGCTAGTCTTTTTTGGCACTTACATATACATTACACCTAAGGTGCTATTAACACCATCCAACTTCATTGCAGTTGCCTAAAATAGCTTTAAAAAAAAAAAAGTTTTGCTGATTTGCAATCTTGCAGCATTTTTTTCTTTCTCTCCAATTTAGGAGTTTGCCTAATGCTTTTTGAATTATATTCAACTTCTACCATATGTATTTAAGGAATCTTCCTACATCTACATGCTTTCCTTTTGTTTGTTCCTGTTATATTTGACTAGTTTTCCTTCGTTAGAGCCTTTCCCAAATGTTTCTTTTCTTGCCGTCCACTCCTGGTCAGATTCCGTTTACAGGTCCCAAAAAATGTGATGTATCTACAGCCTGAATGAAAGCACTATCTCCTTTTGCTGCTCCTTTAAATTGTGTACACATGGAAAGGAGTTCAGGTTGGAGACATTTCTATTCAAGAAAAGCCTTTCTGATGAGGCTTTTTAATAACCATGTACTTCAAAGGAGGCAAATTCTCTGCTAATCAGGAAACTATAACACTTGGTTTTTATACATGTCAGGAAAAATAGTTTTTCAGCAGATACTTTACAGGATAAAACAGGAAAAGTCAGTATCTGACAGGAAAATGATGGTTATGTGATGAGACTTACCACTGCTATATATTGCACTAATAGGGGAGATTTGAAGGCTATACTCTTCTCTGTAGGGGAGCAGTCAGTTTTAGGAGCAGGAAATGAGAGCAAATTCATTTGACTACAGTTTGGCTCCTTCACATTTTCAGAATTGTGATTCTCAACTACTCTGCATGGTTAGACTGTGAATGCAGATGTTATTTGATGGCTTCAGCATTACCTGCTAGCAACGAGAGTAATTCTTAGATGACTCAGACCCAAGAAGAGTGTCAGGCCTTTTATTTGCAATGTAGACAGCCTGCCAATGACTAGTTCCATAGATAGGAGTGACATTTTCCTCTCCTTCACTTGATTCCAAGAGTCTATTCAGGGAAAGTCAAGTGCCAGCTCAGGGAAGTGGTTATGATATGAGAATCTTTGTCAATTAGAGGCTTCTGGACTCTGCCTCTCTTACTTGCTAAAGCAGAACTGGGTTTTTGCGGATCTCAAGCTGCCCTCCTTCACAGGGTTGTAATGGTTGGTTTTGTTCCTCAGCTTCACAGAAGATTCTTATCCGTAGGAGAGGTTCACATGAGATGGATTTATCTGGCAAAACACATTGTGTTGAGGCTGTTTCTGATCTGTTCCTATTTCAGTGA